TGTGAAGCGCTATGAGATGACTGTTGTTGTAAATATGCGCTATACAAATAAAATTGAATTGAATCCTGATACTAGACTCAGTTTGATTCACAGAGTCAGCCTCACAAAGAGAATATACACATGCTGCCCTGTAGGCTCATTTGGCATCTCTGAACCAATGGCCGGGTCCAACTCCACCGTACTTTTACTGATCAGATGGCCACTGTCTCAGATGAAACCATTTACTGATCATAAAGTCTGGCTGTGGCATCACCGCGACCAGTCGTAGCTGTTGTCTTTCAGGAAGAAGACCTGCGACTGGAAACAAGAGTGTAAACAAACATGGCTGTCTTAGGCTTGTATAAAACCTAAGAAAAGAAAGAAAGAAAGACAAACGTAGACCTGTGTGTAGCTCTCACTAACCTTAAAGCCTACATACGTCCCATAGAGGCTCTGTACTCCTATTGGTCAGTGCTGGACACACTGTAGAAACTGTCAACCCATGGAAGATCAGGTAAAACCAAAAAAGTCTTTTTGTGAGACGTCACTAGCACAAATAACCTCTTAGAGATTATTAGAATGGATTAGCTAGTTCTCTCCGGACTAGAGCCTTGCTGGTGTTGGATCTGCTCTCAGACGTACGTCGCTTTGGATAAAAGCGTCTGCTGAATGAAACTGTAGAGATGTCGAAGACAGCAAAGTGTGCTGGTTGCTAATCAAGTCAGATATGACACACTGTGAGATAAAACACTGAACCTGATCCCCGACACCTTCTAGGTGGGACGGATCTCAGCACAACACGCCACAAGAAAGAATATTGAGCTGAACTTCCACTCAACAAAGAATCCCAAGTCCCCTGAAATGCAACTAAGAAGAACAAGCCTCAGAACTGATGGACGGTTAGGTCACGACAAAAGTCAAGTGTAAACAGATCAGGGAGGAGAGACGGTGGAAGCCAAAGTCCACAAGTGTTTAGAGATTTCTGTGGGTCAGTTAGTCAGCGATACGGAGCCCATACCCGTGTGCTGAGGCCTGTCTTTGGTGTCATTGGTACATGTGGTAGTTTAGATTTTGAAAAAGACAAAGAGGTATTAAAGATGCATGAATGTACCGATACCTCGTATTCTAGGCTAACGTCTTTGCTCGAATTTATTCTTCTCATACCGTCGACTTGCTGAGTTTAACAAAAACATGTTTGTTTGGAGTCTGAGTAGCTCTGACAGCCTTCCTCATATCTTGATATGCAGAATTTCTTCTTTTTTTGTTGTGAAATACAAAACTGCTGTTTTTTTTTGCAGTGATGTCTGACTTTCTGATCAGAGTAGACGATAAACTCTGGTAAACTAACTGTGAACTGTAACAGCAACTATACTGTTGCAGGGTTTCACAGATGGACATGCCTTCAGGTGGTGACTACATGTGTGCCATTACTGGAAGAGGACTGACTCACAGTGCTCCAGCAGATGAGGTGGTTGGTGTCTGGGTCCTCCACCAGCGTCCACAGCTTGGTGAGGAAGGCTGGAACGTTGCTGGCGTAGCTGCCGTCTACGCCCACGGCTCCTGGAGACTCCTGCATGCTGACACCTGTCCGCGTCCAACAAACCAAATGTGCGTATATGTGTGTGTATATGTGTGTTTGTGTAGATATTCAGGCTCCCAGACTAGTCCATGTTTCAGAAACTCCACTCCTGAAGATCCTTTACTGATAATCCCAGGTCTGCCTCAGTGTCTTCGATTCCATCTCAGCCGTCCAGCCGTCCCTGACGACACAAACTCTTGTTTTCTTCGGTTTCTCTTCTCTTCTCTTTTATGGCTCTTTCACTTTCTTTTCTCTTTCGCTGCCCTGTTCGTGTCCCTCGCTGTCCACCGCTCATCCAACTGAATGTCACCACAGAAGGTCCATGTCAGCACACACACTCTCACAATTCAAGCCCACCTCCCCCTCTACCCCGGCCTCCCGCTGACAATCAACAGACCGCCCAGTAAAACAATACAGCATCCACACAAAGGCCTCCATAATGCACCACTGTCCCTCCATCAAAAGGCCAAAGTGAATAGAGCAGAACGCTGAATGTCAGGCAGGAGAGACGAGTCCTGACTGATTCCTGAGCATCGCTACAAATGTCTTGACACAGTGGACATATTAGACTGTTTATGCACAGCAGCTAAACATACCGACCGTCTTTGGAGCCAAATTCAATCATGAACAGACATCTGAGCATCTCATAGGCTAAAGCTGAGCAGTGACCCATACAGGAGGATCTACACCTGCTCTCTCGTCTCCAGAGGCTGGATCCTGCCCACTGTGGTCATTAACTTCCTTTAGCACCACCATCAGGTCAAATTTTCCGCTCGAACACAAGAAATGTCGACATCCAATGTGCAGGTTCCTTTATTCATGATTCACGCTTCCCAGAGGATGACTGCTGTCGGTTCTGGACCTTCCGTCCTTCACTGTGGTGACTCACTCACACCTTTACGTCCAGCACAGACTGAAGAAACAAATCATCATTAAATCTGCATTTACAGCTTTGTTGGACCCCATTCTGCTCATGACCAGATGGTCAGAGCCCAACATCAGGCTGAAGGTCTGTGTGATCAGTTGGAACAGAACTGATCACACAGAGCTTGGATTTACTGTAAGCTCTGCTGTTTAACCTCAGGGGCTCCGTACACACACGACATTCTGGCTTCATTTATTCCTAAAGTTTTGCACATTGATTCAGGTTGCTTGTTACGTTGTGGATTGTTATTTCTGACCTTTTCAGTACTTTGTCATCATTCCATCATCAGTTTCAGCACTTTGTTATATTTTTATGTCTAACGTTTAGCTTTGACAGCGTCCACTTTCACAGCCCCTTTGACTCAGTAATTGTGGTTTAGTTGCATCAAATGTCTCACCTCTGACCTTAATCCTAACCCTGAATCATTTGACACGTTATCCTGATGCAGAAAGCTTCAGATGTGTGGACATAAGATTGGTTTCATCCGCTAAAGGCCAGTTTCAGGGGATGTAAAACCGTTTTTGCTGCCAAAGCTCCAAGTGTTTGGCCTCAGACCTCAGCAGGCATCACCGACGGGAAACTGGTGTTTCCAGAAATGTGCCAACAACAGTGACTGTTCTCATGTCATGGGAGCAAGATGAAGGCCGGGAGGTGAGCAGAGTCACGCTTCAAGTGTTTCCTAAAGTTTCTCTTCAGTTGTTGATTAAAGTGCTAAAAACTGCTCTGTGTATCAAAACTACGTATTTAGATGAAAATCAAACCTCTTCCTGCCCTAAAAGGCTCAGATACAACAGAACACCGTTGCTGCCTCCACAATGTGCAGATCGATCCATGAATCGGTCTCTGCCGTTACCTTCACCGCCCTCTGCTACCGGCTGCAGCTCAAGCACATCGTGGTGAACGGTAAACGGACCGCACTTACATATCTCACCTACGGGTCTCCTCAGACACCGCAAAACAACTTCAGCAATACCTGCTGAACTGGAAACTGATCGTGAAAGAAAATAAAGATGCCGAAAGGCTTTAAAGCTGACAGAGTTGTTTTTCAGGTTTGTTACGTATGAAATCCTGGAAATCTGAATCATCACTGACTGCAGTTTTCAAGGAGGAGACGCTCAGCCGTGGCCTCGACTGGTCTTCACTGCTGCGTCCTACATGTGACTGTGGACGTAGTGATGAAGTGCAGAAACTCAACCTGAGGGGGCGCTACTCTACAACAGGATAAAGAGCTGTTTTTCACTAACAGACAAGAAAAGCACAAGCAGCTCCCACTCACACATCCAGCAGACGCATTAACTTGAAATAAGATGATCTGAAGTTAAACTCTTGTGTTTTATTTGTGAACAGTTCGTTCTGCAGCGTAAATCCATCGTGTGCTTCTTTATCAGAAGGACCTTTGTCCTGAGAGTTGCTGCATCGTAGCTCTTCAGGCCGTTCCTCTGAGCTGGACCTTCATGCGATAAGGTCTGGGGGTTTGAGTCGTCCCAAAAACTTTAGTGTAGTCTGGTTCTCCTGCATCTTCAGGCCAGATGAACTTGAACCTCCTCAGCAGAGTCACCATGAAGAGGAAGACCTCCATACGAGCCAGAGCCTCTCCGAGACACATCCGAGGACCTGAGGTTGAAAATATCCACAAAACTTGTGTTACAAATGCTTGACATGTAGCATCTACTAGTACGTCTGGGTCTACTTGAGTGAAGTCCATTTCACAAACCCGCAGAGAAAGGCATGAAGGCCTCTGGTTTGACAAACTCTCCCTGGTCATTGAGGAAGTTTTCAGGGTTGAATTCATGAGGGTATTTCCACTGTCCCTCCTCGCTCAGCACTGACGACAGGTTGGGGATGACAGTGGTTCCCTGAAGAACACAAAAGGATGAATCTCTCTCCACAAAGATCCAACAATGATGTGAAGATGTGTGTAAAACTGCCCTCAAAACATATTTCAGTTCTGTCATCCAGTAACCCAGAAGCCACGTACCCTGGGGATGGAGTATCCCATCAGCTCTGTGTCTTTGGTGGTCTTGTGGAAAACAGCGAGGGGAGCAGTGTCAGCCAACCTCTGGAGCTCGTGAATCACAGCCTGCATGACAGAGATGTTTTACAGCATCACACCGTACCACTGTAGCGTCTAAGGAATAGAACATCACACTCTGGGATGACATGCTGCTGAAGCCTACATAGAGTCTGAATGAAGGATCCATTTACCTGCACGTAGGGCATCTGGTGCCTGTCTTCAAAACTCACTTCATCCTTCCCATCCAGAACTTTGTCTATTTCCTGTTGGCAGCGCTCTGAGAAGCACAGAGACAAAGACGTGAGAGGTGAAGAGAGAACAGAAGGAGAAGAGCTCAAGACATGCACGAGACGATGGGTCGCTGAAGCCAGGCGTTTAAAAAGCTCCACCTGCTCCCACAGGAGGCCCACAATGGAGGCAGTCGTTGTTGCATCTCTTTGTGGTCGTGCTGAGTATAAGAAATCTGTAAAAGACTCTGGACTCCGATCCCGTAAAGGCCTGTTCGGCAATCCTGCCATGAAGCTCTGTCTGGGTTTATGTGCTACGGAAGATATCAATCGATCTCCCTGCGGCAAAATGCAACGTGGCATTCTGTGTGTCATCACAATCACTGGGATCCTTTGGCTGGGAAGCACGACTCTCTGTACAAAATGTCACGTCAATCCATCCACCAGGTGCTGACAGACGTCATTCTGCAGCAAAGGCCGATGGACTGATCCTCAACGCTAACATGGCTAAAAAGAAAAGACAGATGGTAGATAAACGTACCCTGGGTCTCTGGATAGTTCATCAGATAGAAGAAGGCGTTGAGCAAGGAGTTGGCGGTTGTGTCGGTTCCAGCAAAGTGGAGATCCAAGAGAAAGGCACAAAGCTGGTCTTCGGAGAACAAAGAGCCGTCGTTTCCCCTCTTGGCCGGTGGACGAGAGACAAAGAAAGTCAGATCCCTGTTGTCATCACACATCTCAGCTACAACATCTCACTCACCTTGTCCATCTCATCCAGGTAGCAGTCTATGAAATGTCGCGGTTTACCAGGAACTCTGGTCTTTT